AAAAAAGCAGAAATATTTCTTAACTTTGCAGCATACACTCAAATGTCCATTCTCAAGAGAATGTTCTGCTCAACATATACGTTTCACTTCTGCACTAATTCAATACTATTTGCCGAAAGTCTGACAAAATTTGGGGTTACTTAGCTCTTTGACATATGAATAAAGTTGAATTAGCCAAAATTCTTTGACTGATCAGGCCCTCAGCTAGTTCGTATTAACTTCAGTGGGCCAAGATTGCTTCTAGAAAAGTAAAACCAAAGCAGCAACAAACCCCTTTTAATGCCTGCAAGCAAAATATCCCTTCATGACACATCAAAACTAAATATGTTCTTAAACATTTTCTAAATATATGGGTTTTGTAGGTTATCACACATACCCAAATGATGATTTGTATTTTTCTCCAAAAAAAATTGATTTTATAAATGGACATTTAAGTCCAAATTAGAATATATAAAGATGTTTTGCATCCAGAATTTAATTATATTTCCTTAGACAGCTTCTGCTAAGTAAGAGTTACTTACCAATCTAGTTACAACAAAAAATCAAGATATATGTTAACTATTTGTTCATTTTACAGTTGAAAATAAGTACTGTGGTAACTACCTAAAATTATCAGTGTAAGCAAGACAGACTGATACAAATATAAGTTACAAGAAAAATAAGGAAGCCTGCGTGTTTCTGTAGCTGAAGAAAAAGTTACATAAAACCACTGTACTCTATTGTTGGCTTAATAGACCCACTTCCTCTTCAGCTTATCCACAGATAAACTGTCTTTCCTAATTCACCAAGTTCTGCATGTAAATCTTTAATTCAGCTGACATAGGTGTTAAGAAAATAAACACATATATACACTGCATGCTTGCTGGATATTCACCTTATGTTCAAAAGTACTTCTCCGCATTAAGACTGGTTGCCTTTCATGCTAACTCAAATGGCTTATCTTCCACCTGTTTCCTCTGGTAGCACATAGAGAACAAAAGGACACTCACATCAGGCAGCTCTCTTCACCGACACATCTACCACCTCAAATATAAGAAACACCTACCCCTTAAAAAACACATTTTGCACATGACAGAACCATACAACACGTCACAAAATAGCAAGCGCTGCCACACATCTCCAGCACTTAATTTGACCAAGGTTTATAAATTAGTAGGCATAGCCAACCAGCGAGCATGATAATGCCAGATTATTTTCTTAGATACTCAAGGCATTTTGCACTGAGAAAACAGTGTATAACATAAAAATATAGACTGCATGGGCAGAAGACATCCAGGATTTAAAGTTTAGGGCTACAGCTTATCACACAAACCCAAGAGCTGCTTTCTGAGACCATGAAAAATTTCCACGGATGACAGGCAAAACAATACACATAAGAACTAGAACACATGGCTCTTACCACTTAACAATGAATAGGTACATACACGCTTAAAATGCAAGCATGCAGAACACTGTACATTTTGTTTGGCATACAGCAAAATAGAACATTAAAACACCTGGGTTTTTTCCCATTTATAAAAACAATGTATGTGTTTTTACAGCTAACAGCAAACAATGGATGGATGTTAACAACTGTAAGCTCTAGAGAACAATCATACGATTTTACAAAGTGTTCAGCAGTAATGAAATCCAGAAGAATATGGAAAATACATGAGAGTAAAACCAAATTCAGTGGAAGACTGAATTTGCTCCAAAGTGCCTTAAACATTACAGCCAAGTAGAGCTAGCCAAACTACTACTATGTCTTTGTAATATGCTTCAGTGCTTATTTCTGAATTCTCGCTCCTCAAAATTACAATAGTAAAAAAATACTTTGTCCAGTTCTAATCTGTTCCAAAAATTAAGCAATGATGTACAAAAAAGTACAAAAAAGCGGTATTTTAAGGCTTAATCACAGAGAGGGTTTGTTTTTAAACTAACACTTAAAAATAATCTTAGCACACAGTAAAAGTTTTCCATAAATGACCTGTGATTTTACACTCCTTGATCCCGTGAATAATTTTACACTCCTTGATCCCGTGAATAATAACATGGTATCATCATTAATATACAAAGAGGGTGTACAGAGCATGGCAAGTGAGTTTGTGTGTCTGTCACACAGTAACTGTGAGGAGGAAATTAACTCACTGTGCAAGGAAGCACTGTATCTCCCCTGAGATAAGGCGGAAAAACCTCCTCTTCTGATCCACACACGTTATTTTTTTCCTTTATATTTGCTACATATATGCATTTGTACGTATGTCTAATTTTTAAGCAAATTTAAGAAAACAATCTGGCAGAGATATGCTTATTTGTGCCTTGAAACCCCCTGAGTTAATAATACCTTTCACTTTGCACTCTTAACAAATCTGAAGAACATGCATGGTGAATTAACATGGCTCAGCTTAAACTGCACTAGTACTCTCCTTATGAGTTTCCAGAGGATATGCTTCAGTCCCATATTCAAAAGCCTTTAACCTACTTAGGCTTTTAAGTCCCACAACACTTTACAAAGTGGGACTAAAAAGTTGGCACTTCTGAAAAAAAGCAGAAAACAAACCCAAAACCAAACACAAAGCCACGTTTGTCTACGTCCACATAAAATAAAGCAACACTAGTAATTTAAGTTTTCAGGGGGGGGAAAGACATGTAATGGCATAGTAAGGGTCTATTAAATTTAAAAAAAAAAAAAGGATTATTTTTAAGCAATTTCAGATGAGTTTCGTGTTACCAGCCTCACGATTTTTAATGATGTTTCTATTCTAAAATGGTTTTGTCTGTCTCATAACCATGTGAATGACCCACACAAACAACAAAAACTTAATAACTGAGCAACTGCCTAGGCTAGAGAAACAGTGAGAGTGACTGAAAAAAAGTGCTGTCAGACACCTAAAATAAACCCACTCATAAAAAAGTTTTCCTCAAAATTTGTTTATAAATTGAAACTTGAATCTCTACCCAATCCCACAACTCCAACAGTGGTTCACCACTATACTGCATTTTACAAGATGAGATATTAAGTGTTAATCCAAATAGCTGCACATGCACACAAATGCAGGACAGAGGCTGTTGATAAAACCTAAGACCAAAAAATGTGTCCATGAGTAACTATTCTGTAGTGGTTTCACTACCCAAGCATACAGATATACTATTAAGTATGAGCAGCTGAACATCCACTGCTCTTGGTCCCAAGTACATCATGCTTATGCCTCCACAAGTGTGGGTTTGCACTGATGCTGATGAATGCCAAAACATTTCATATAGGCACACAAGAGAGTTTTCCCACAAAGCTTCCTATGGGTCGGCTTCTCCCCTTTCTCCCTCAGGTCACCACGTCCCATTTGGTCCAAAGCAATGACACAACTGGACCCCAATCTACCACCACCTACCCCCTCCTACACTTCAGTGGCAGGACCTTGCAAAGCAGTACAAGTCCCGCACTACTGACTGTAGAAGTGGATCTCTAAATTCCTTCTCTGGGACATATATTGGTCTCACTCAGTTAAATTTCATACATTTTTGAAAACTCGGGGGAAGCCTTTAGCACAACCACAAGAAAAATCAGGAAAACAGAGAAACAATTTGGACCAGAGTAACAACTCAAATATGCCAACTGCCTCTCCTGAAGCAAATGTGCATCACTAAATAATTATACTTAAGCATCCATAAAATTAAGCAAACTATCTAAAATATATTTTATCTTCCTTGTGAATCTTGAAAAAGTCACAACATGCACTTCCATCAAGCAAAATGAGATAGAATGTTATTACTGGGAGTGCTGCATCTGTCTCCACCACTCCTTTCCCACACCAGTTAAGGATCCCAACACTTTTCTCCATACCAGACAACAAGCTGCAGGAAACGGCATATTCGTATGGAAGCACTAAAGCGTATTCTGACTTTTCCTTTTAACTCTCATTACTTCATTGAAAAGGCAGTTTACACCCCCAGTATAAATCACTACTTTCATATACATGACCCATGACAAAAATCTTCAGCATAAACATCCCACGTCCACTTGGAGCCTCCCTGCTCCATCCACACACCAGACAGTGGTGCAGACATATTTCAAGGCCTGTGAGTCCCATGCAGAAGCCGTATCACCACAGGAGCTACACAACATAGTAGAGCACGCTGGATACGGAGAGAGGCGTTTTAATCCAAAAAGGCTTGTTTTTAACACAAGCCGAATTTCTGTTACAGTAAACAGTGCCTCTGCATACTTGCGGCTCCAAAATAACAACCTGTTTTAACTAAAGAGGAATGATATAATATATTTTATTTCCTGACCAGTGGGTGGATTCCAAAGGTATTAAAGATCCTGTCATCCTCCTGCATACTTCAGGCTACTCCTCAGCTTCGTGTGTGCATCTGGGGCTTTACGGCTCCCCTCGTTTTGTTTCGGGGTTGGTTGTTTTTTCCCCCCCTCTCCCCCCAAAAAACCGGTCTACAATCTCAGCATAAGCCCCTTACCCCAGTTTACCTCTTTAACTAAAAAATCACAGGGAAAAATGCAAACAGGGAGCCAAGAGCCTTCCCGAGGCGCTCAGAACAATGCATATTAAACCCGCCGCCATCCCTCCCTCCGCACAGCAACTCCCCCTGCGAGCCCCCCTTCCTCAATCCTCTTCCTCGCCATCCCTCTCCTACACACACCGACGACGACATTTGCCCCCCTCCCCCACTTTTCCCCTCGCACCCCCTCACTCACCCGCCCATCCCTTCCCCTCTCCATTTTGGAAGGCTGTTTTCCAACCCCGTCTCTCCACACCGAGCCCACCCGCAGCCACCGGCGGGCACACACACACACCAACACACACTCACCGCGCCGCGGCGGCTCCCCTGCCCGGGGTGGAGAGGGGCCCAGCCGGCCCCGCCGCCGCGGCGGAGGGAGCCCGGGGCGGCGGCGGAGCCTGGGCTGCAGCCCCGGCGGCACCTGGGGCGTGCGTGCCCGGCGGCGGCCCGAGGCGAGGCGGCCGGGCCGGGGCGGGCGGCACACAGGCTCTCGCTCACTCACTCACCCAGCAGCAGCAGCTTCAGCTCCCGGCGGGCGTCCCGCTTGTCCCGGCGCAGCTGCCGCTCGATCTCGTCGTTGATCCGCCGGGCTTCCTTGGCTTCCTCGCTCAGGCAGCACGCCATGATGGACTCCAGAGTCATTCTTCCTAACCGGTTCAGACACAACCCCCACCCCCCCTAAAACCGCGCACGCACCCCGCGCCTCGCACACACGCACCCCGCCGCCGCCGCACCGGGCCCCGGGGGGGGGTGGGCACAGGCGCTCTCTTGCCCGGGAGCCCCCGCAGGGCGAGCGCAGGCAGCCGCCTCGATGCCACACAGGGGCGAGGAGAGGAGAGAGAGAGAGAGAGAGGAGAGGCAAGAAAAAAAAAAAAAAAAAGGAAAAAAAAAAAAAAAAAAAAACCCGCCAAATCCTCCTCTCCTCTCCTCTAAATCACGCACCAAACAACATGGAAACATCCACCGCGGCGGCAGCGGCGCTACCCAGCCCAGCCGCTCGCCCCAGCCGCCCATCGCCCAGCCGCTCCCCTTCCCTCGCCACCGCCCGCAGCCGACGCGGTCCCCGAGTGTCCCTGGCGGACGATACCCCCACCGCCCTCCGACAGCACCACCCCACCCCCTGTGGAAACGTTAATGCCCGCTAATCCCTCCCCCACCGGCCGCACACACGCATTCCCCCGCCGCTCCGGAGCGGCAACCCGGTTCCTGCGGGGTGGGAGAGAGCGCTTCCCGCCGGGAAGCGCTTCCTCACGGCCGACCCTCCTTCCCGGCCCGGCGGCGGGGCGGCCGATGGCCCCCTCTGGCCGGCAGAGCCGCTGCCGAAGCCCTGCCGCGGCTCGCCCCGGCCCTGCCAGTAAGGACGGGAGAGGAGGCGGGCGGCGAGGAGCCACCCGGGAGGAAGAGGAGGCGAGGAAGCAGGCAGGGGCCGGGCTCGCCCGGCTTTTCAATGGCTCGGCTCCGCGGGCGTGGTGAGGCAGAAATATGGCGGACCGTCTCTCCCGCTCTCCCCCCCCTCCCCCGCACGCCGGGGGAGAGCGGCAG